AACAAACAAACAAACAAACACAAAAAACAAGCCCCCCCCCCCCAAAAAAAAAAAAAAAAAACCAAACAAACAAAAAACAAACAAACAAACAAAATAAAAAAAAAGAAATATAATAAATAAATTAAAAAAAAAACATGCAGTGTCGAATGTTGTGATTTACTTTTACATGTAATAGAGTGTAAACGATTTTCTGGTGTAAACGATTTTCTGTATATACATTTGTTTATGGCAAATGTTGCAACAACTTTCGCAATTAATACTGTACTATTTTTAAAGCAAATCGCGCATTGTCTGAAATCACATGCATCTGTGGCGTTATATCGAGATAATTGACACTTTACGAACAAAATAAAAAAGAAAAAAAAATTTCAAAGTGATATTTTTCATCATTACACAGCATTACTGATTACATGTTTATCTTATGCATTACTGATCATATATATCTTATGAGATTGTATCTCGCATAACACTGGTTTTAATTAGAGACTTCAACTCACTTAACAGTACCATCAGTACCGTAGCAGTACTTTCAGTACTTTGATTTTCAATTAAAAATGCTATACAAATGCCATATACATGTATATAAAAGCCAAGTCCCTGTCCCCTCTCCCTTTAACGGCATTCCATAAAACTTGCGAGGTTTCCTCTTTTTATCTTTCTTGCTCATTTTACTTCTTATTTCGAAAATATTGTGTGTCCACGGTCTTTAAGATTTCTGCAATATCCAAAGTACACATGTGCTCTACCGGTCGCGGTAGTCTAGTGGTTGGACGCTCGCTTCGTGATCTGGAGCCCCGAGGGTACAATTCTTGTCCAGGTGCCGCGTCAAAACTAAGGCGCTTAACGTAGGTAGTGATTATAATTGATTGCTTTGCTAAAAGTGTACCATTAAGAGTAAAAGACTAGTGCCACTGTAGGCGTTGGCTAATAAAGAAACACAAAGAATAAATCAAAATATTGTCACTTTATCTAAAGCGGATGGCCTCTCAATCTTGGTAAAAAAAATTCTAGAATGGTAAAAAGCAACATACAATTTAGCTGCAGCTCGCTGGTATTAAAAGATTGGGATGGACGACCAGAGAGCTGCAGTGACACGCATTGAAAAGTGTATTTATTGCGCACAAAAAAGAGCGCTGTTTCTCGATCTATTTGTCAGTATATATAAAGATATAACTAACTGTCTGTTCCTAACATGTTCTTTTACCACTCCACAAGAAAACTGTAGACCTGTACATGTCATGTATGAAGCACGTTGGACCGAATTGTCTTGCCACCCAAGATGGCAGAATACATATGCGAAATTTTTGATGGTCTCAAATTCAGGCCCAGGACGGCTATTTACAACGGTTTGCGCTTTAGTCAGAACTGCTGTTATCGAATTAAAGCTATTGTAACTTAAAGATGTGTGTTACATCCTGAAATCCCATTAGATTGTCATTTCAAAGCCCAAGTAACAAAATACTTCGACCCAAGTCACTCGTACGGAGAAAATATTAGCCTCTCTAAAGGGTCGAGACGAAAAATCCCATTAAGAAACGTTTATTTCATGTCAGTTACTCCATATCTATCACAGTTACCTATAATAAGTAAATTACGCATATAACATGTGTTATCTTTCCACTACAGCATGGATAACGTCTATCAATTCTAGTACTAACGGATATAATGTACATATACTATGGGTACTTCTAAAGAATGAATACAAAGGACATGTAGCATATAGATATACTAAACTAAAAAAGAATCAAATCATATAATAAAGAACAAGAGGCCCAAGGACCTTGAATCGCTCTTCTGATAAACTGTACAACCTATCACTTCTATTTGAAGCCTCTAAGTATCCTTTATATTTAGATAAACCCTTGAAATTCCAGTTCACATTCTGAGAACCCAAGATGATTCTAAGCCAATTAGTACCTGAGAGTTGGTCATGGTGACCTGCTTATCACTTGGCATTCTCTGAGGACCCATTAACTAAGTTTAATGATTCTAAGCCAATTAATACCTAAAATGTTTTTTTTTAAATTATAACCATAAAATTTTATAAGTAGGTCAAAGTGACCTACTTTTCAGTTGTTGTACTCCAAGGACCCAAGATGCATCAACTGAAAAAGTTTGATGATTCTAAGCCAATTAGAACTTGAAATATTTAATTAAAGCCATAAATTTTCAAAAGTAGGTCACAGTGACCTACTTTTCAGTTGTCATACTCAGAGGACCCAAGATGCATCAAATGACAAAGTTTGATGATTCTAAGCCAATAAGTACCTGAAATATTTAATTAAAGCCATAAATTTTCAAAAGTAGGTCACGGTGACCTACTTTTCAGTCGACCTACTCCGAACACCCAAGATGCATCAACTGACAAAGTTTGATGATTCTAAGTCAAATAGTACCTGAAATATTTAATTATAGTCATATAAATTGAAAAGTAGGTCACGGTGACCTACTTTTCAGTTGATGTTTTTTGAGGACCCAAGATGCATCAACTTACAAAGTTTTATGATCATAGGCCTCAAAATGTCCAAATTATGCCTCTAAAATGCTTTGAAATCGAATGCCTGCAAAGTTCAAAAAGTAGGTCATTGTGACCTACTTTTTAATAAATACGTTTTATGGCCCCAAGATGCATCATCTTACAAGTTTTAATGATTCTAAACCTTTTGGTATTGGAATTAATGGCCTTAATTGTTTTGATAAAGATTAGCCATAAAATTCAAAAAGTAGGTCAAGGTGACCTATTTTTTAGTTGACGTACTTCAAGGACCCAAAATACATCAACTGACAAAGTTTGATGATCATAGGCCTTAAATTGTTCAAAATATGCCTCTAAATCATTTTGAAAAAGAATGGCCCCAAAATTTAAAAAGTAGGTCACCGTGACCTACTTTTGAGTCAACATGATATGAGGTCCTTAGATGCATCAACTGACAAGATTTGATGATCCTAGTCCTTATAGTAAGCAAAATATCAACATTTTAATAAAATGTAATTTTTGGTCAACTTTGAAGTGACCTTGAGACCACGCCCTTTGCCCCAGGGTAAATCCCCGTGCAAATTTTAATCTACAACATATCCTTATCCTTTTGTGTAAGTTTGGTGATAATCTGCCCAGTGGTTCTTGAGAAGAAGATTTTTTAGCAACCAGTACTTTTGTTTCTATTTTCCTAATTATCTCCCCTTGTTAAAGGGTCACAACCCTAGTTTTAGTATAAAAGGGAGCCCTTGGGCCAAGGATACCCTGTGACAAATTTGACAATAATTGGCCAAGGGGTTCTTGAGTTATGGCCCATATTCTAAAAAGTTTACGCACACTGCACACCGCACGCCGCACACCGCACAAATGGCCATAGCATTAGCTCTTTGAGCCTTTGGCTCAGAAGAGCTAAAAAATATTGTTTATTTCTAGCAGACGGTTCAATGAGAGTTGTCAGGGTGCGTAATATTTCCCGGTATTTTCATGACACTCAATCTTTCCAGTCCTTTGATTTTAGAATTTTCAGAAAAAAGTCAACATTTTTCGAGTAAAAATTGCACGGCTGATATCAGTTCCCATTATATCAACAGAACGATGTACTTCAGCTGAAAGTTTATTCCATGAAATAATCTACATAAGCTGATAATCTTCATTATGAGTAAATAGCTTTTCCTACAATTATTGTTAAAACGAAGCATGAAGTTTGTATTTGGATGTCATAAACCTTTAACCAACTTTTTAAGGTGGTAGTCATTTTTTTTAAATAAAAGTTTACATGCAGATTTGGGTGTTGTTTAAAGGTGGTTATGACGTGTAGAAGTTGCCAAATACACCAACCCTCTTGAAAAATTATCCCATTTTGATGAATTATCCCATTAACTTCGGCTTATGCTAATACGGAAAAACAGTGCACTATTTTGTGACCCTATATTATAACAAATACAATAGCATCATTAATCAAACAATATTTATCATTAATTCGAATCATTTGCCTAATAATTAAAAAATTAAACGAGACTTACCTTGGTTAAGGTGAAGTTTGATTGAGATGCTATGAGGAAGTAGAATCAAAGAAGAGATAACGTTCTAGATTTCTTTCTACATGTACCAGTGTTCAACTTTCCTTTTTCTGGTGTTACCCGTTTTGTTCTCAGCTTTGTCTGCAGGAATAACTTTGTTTTTCTTTGGAGACAACAAGGTTAAAAAAAAGAATAGTGATCGATCTAAAGAAATCTACAAACAATACAAATCTGTGAACGGCATAAAACACGGACCCCCGCAGATTCCAGAGGTATCTAGGCCTAGGAGGAGTAAGCATCCCCTGTTGACATGTACCTTTTACTGTGAGCCCTGAGTATTGATCAGGTAAACGGAACATTCCGTAGTCAAATTTATTATTTAAAAAAGGCCTAACAAGTGGTGTGAAACATGTCAGCCAAAACACGACCCAATGATAGGTTATATTTGTTAACAAGGTCATTACAACGACCATAGAATTTACGAAACATATGTACATATGACATCATGGTTCATGAAAATATTTATATGCAACTTTTATCGATAAGTCAAACAAAATATATATAGAATAGCCCATTTCAATAAATACCCCCATTATCCCTAAACAACAAACTTATTTAAATGTAGGAATGTATTTACATAACTTATCCACTGTAAATACTGTCAACTACAACCCTGGGTGTTGTACCACCTTTTGCTAAAAAACATCTTTCAGAAACTTAGTTCTCCTCTTAAGGAATGACTGTATCATTTTCAAATTGGAGGAGTCGTAATTTTTTTTATGCATTTTTTCCTTCCAAGAGTAGATGTAAAATTTTGGCCCAACTTTTGTCAGGCATAAAGATATGCTCTTCAAAGAAATGCAAATCTTCTTGCTAGTCCGAAATTTACACCAGCATAGAGCTATCTGTATGTGCACCTGTTTATTTTCCAATTCAAGTTTCAAGACATGTCAAATCAGTATCCACTCATATACTAATAGCAGAAAAAATGGAGAAAAAAAACGTAGTTTTAAAAATTGTATTATTATCATAAATATAAAATACATGATCATGTATCTTAAATAACATATTTCAATTTTTCAGCATTGGTACATTTTAATTAATACCAACTACAAATTCTGAATCATTCACAATATTACTTCCTCAGCAATGCTCAGGTTTAAAATTCATCTAACATGTTTATAAAAAAATATTCCGAACATGTTTAATCAACACTTTTTACATCCCAAGTTGTTCTTGATTATTGAACAATTTTTGGAGTTTTGCTTGAAATAGCTAGCCTTTCTACAGAACTTTTTACATCACTTCTTCTTCATGTTGGTAATGGTAGCAAGTCCGCCACTAATGGTAGAATCTGTTCTGTTCTCAATCTCCAGTTTTTAATGTCTTTTGACACTTGACACCAATACTCTCCATGCTTGGGGTCCGCGTTTATGCAGCGCTTTTTAATATCATTCTGAGAATCCTGCAAATATAATTTTTTTTTGAAGGCTTAAATGCTTGGTCATGTAAATTGTTCATGTTAGATACAGAGAAGGGGTAATAAAACATTTTCTTTCATCCTCCTTATCTTAAAGCAAATGTATATTGGATTGGACTTCAATGATACATTGTAATACAATCACTGTCCTTTATATTTATTACATAAACAACTAGGCTGATTCACTTCAATCTTTTCCATAACACTGCACTGTTTTCATAGCATTATTTGCAGTTAAGAGCATACATTTATTTTGAAGATATCAATTTGTTTACCTCATCTCCATGCACCTGTTCAAACTTGTAGAAATATGCCCAGGCATCTCCAAGGTCTGGTTCTATCTTCACGGTACGACTAAACCATTCCCTGGCCTTGGCTACTTTTCTCTCTGCCCAGAATATATACCTTAAAAAAAAGTGGGGAAAAATCGTTTCTCCATTCCAGTAATATTTGATTTAATTACAAGTGAACATTAAAATCTCACTAAGGAATTTTAAATCAGACTCCAATGTTGTATAAATTTATTTTGAAAGACATAATATAAATGATGCTAAAATCAAGTAATTCAATTCCTGTTCAAAAAAAAAAAAAGATGGATAAATCTATTTGCATGACTAAAATGCAGGACACAAAAAACAATAATGATTGACATACAAAATGGACAAGGGCACTGCAAAGTGGGGCATCCCCTTGCAATCAATCCTGATATAAATTATAACCTGTGGTTGAGTGTGTGTGCTTAAAGGAAGTTACTTCCTTTAAGCACACACACTCAACCACACACACAGGCTTTTACTATATCCCCCCTAACTTTGTTTCGAGGGGATAAAAACTAAAAGCATGCATGGTTTTTTGCTACAAAAGGCATTTTTTAACATTTCCAATCATAGCTATTACAAGGGACATGTTGGAAGAGGGATTGCTCAAATGCAAATATTAGTTCAAAACATATATGTACAAGCTACATGTCTACTTACTTTGATGCTGCTAGGAGTACATGGGGATCGTGTTCACACTTGCGTAAAGCATCTACTGACTTGGTTTTCCTCTGTGGTCTGGGTTCCATAGCAATGGATTCTGCCCATAATATTCCTGAGTTGGGACACTCCTGCAGGGCTGTACAGAGTACAAGATGTTATGCGATTTTGTTCAAAATAAACTTTTTATTGGCTGCAGTTTTATTCTCACCATTTCCATCAGAATGAAGAATACAGAATGAAGGTAAACTTATTTGTCCTTGTTAACATTTGCCTATTTACACATTAAATATAGTATTACACAAAATTGCTCCCCTGTGTATTTTGGCACATGTGAAGGGGGGGGGTGAGGGTGTTCAACAAGGTATGGTCAGACCCCTATTCAGATTAGATGAAAATAAAGTTTTACAAGAGAGTAAATTTACTTCCAAGTATTCTCAGCCATGAGAACATGAAATAAAAATTAATATGTGTGAATACATTGAAATTGACTATAAAAACAATGAATCACTTCTTTGAAAAGTGCATCAAATCCTACTGTAGATTCCTTATTTTACTTGAGTATTGATATTGCGAAATGTCTCCTAGGTTTCTAATCATGAGAACTAGATTTGTGATTAGACTTGATCTAGAATATTTACATTCATTTCAGCAATATGAAAATTAAATCAAGTAATTTTATTTCGCCAGTGCTGCTTCTCGTGAAATTATGTGATAATAATTTCCATAATATATTTTCATATATTTAAGAATGTACAGTTTATTAGAAAAAGAAGTGATTTTCTGTTGTGTCAATAGAGCAAAATATTTTTTTAAGTAGTAAGTTTTTGAAAAAGAAATGGGGAGAATTAGAACTGTATAGACTTCAAACATGAGAAGAACAAAGAGTTGAAGAAAAATTAGAAAATTCTAAAACAAGTAATCCATTAAGTATATATAAATTTATTTCTACAGTGGTTGGAAAATGCCATATTAATACTGATTTATACACAGTTTGCTAGTGCATGTGAACACATTGCAAAAGTTACATTTACACACTACGAGTTAAACTTGCATATATATAAAATTTTCATGAGTAGATGGGCACATATGGACAGGGCTAGATTGAAAATAGATTCAACAGTGTTTTTAATAACTAAGTGGAAAAAAAGCGAATAAACTTCAAATTAACTGAATAATTTTTTTTTAGACAATTGTGATAGCAGTCAATTGGGAAATCACAGCTGTCTCACAGAAAAATTAAATGTTAACACTTGGTAAATCTTTAATAAAATAAAACTTTTATTGTATGTGTACATTACACTGCTGCACAAATTTTAATAACACAACTATCTTTTATCCAGTGTGGAAGGAACTTTTATTTCTATATTTTTGTTGACCATAACCAGTCATTGAATTTTACATACGCGTAGGTACATGAAGTAAATGTTTGCTTCATTGCTACTATCAATCACAGTTGACATGCCAGGTGTTCATGATTAAAAGTAACTGTAAATATATTAGCAGTACCTTACATGTATATAGAAAAAAAAATAATCATATTTCAATAAAGCATATTCTCTTTTAGAAGATTTTACCTCTTGCCATGAGTGTCTGAGCTATGTTTTTCAACCCTCCTCTGTTTTCAACCCGAATGGCTTCAAGCCTAAAATACAACAAAAGAGAGCTTTTAAGTGGGTGTCAGAAGCTTATCCTGTCAAAGTCAACCTGTAAAATTTCTTAATGAAAGAAATGCAATCAATCAACTGGCAAGAATTTGTTACCAAACATGTCTAAAAGGGAGTTACTAGTAAATTGGAAAGCTAAAAAAAAATATTAAGTTACGTTCAGCAGACCCAAAATTTCAAATGACTTCTTAAAATTGCAGCTAATTTTAGCACATGGAGGAAATGTTATCTTACACTGAAATAAGCAGAGTAACTGGGACTTCATGTTCAACATAATGCATCTGGGTTTTTTCCCTTCAAACTATGTACATAGGAAAAACAGTTTGGTCCACTTCAACATTTCCATGGTATATTAGATTTACTGTACCTCTAACAGTATTCCAATATGAAACATCAACTGTCTTTTGGACCTTGTTTTACTTATCTGACCTTAAAATAAGATTCCTAGTTATGCTTATTCAACAAATATGACTTCTGTGAATATTTACCATAATTCTGCACACTGTGGGTTTTTTAATCTGGCTTTCTCCAGAATTGACCGGGCTTTAATCAGCTGACCTGACTTTTCTTCCAAACGTGACAGGAGCAACCATAGTGGAATTGCTTTAGGGTTTTTCTTCAACTGAAATACAGTTCAAGGAAGAAAACAACAGATAAGTTTCATTTTATACAACATCAGCATAGAATCAACAGAACTTTTTCTTGAAGTATTAAATACCAAAACATTGAACATTTTTCAAACAAAAAATGTGATACTGAACTGAAAATAGAATTAATTGATAATGCCTTTATTCAATTAAAAGCAAAACTAAATGATTGTTTTATTCCTTTTTGAGGTGATAATGAAGATAATTTGACCTACCCCTTGATTGTTAGCTTCTCTTGCTAGATGTAATAATGAGGATAATTTGACTTACCTCTTGATTGTAAGCTTCTCTTGCTAGATGTAATAATGGGGATAATTTGACTTACCCCTTGATTGTAAGCTTCTCTTGCTAGATGTAATAATGGGGATAATTTGACTTACCCCTTGATTGTAAGCTTCTCTGCTAGATGTAATAATGGGGATAATTTGACTTACCCCTTAATTGTAAGCTTCTCTTGCTGGATGTAATAATGAGGATAATTTGACTTACCTCTTGATTGTAAGCTTCTCTTGCTGGATGTAATAATGAGGATAATTTGACTTACCCCTTGATTGTAAGCTTCTCTTGCCAGCTCCTTGTTGTTATTTTGTTCCTCTATCTGTCCTTTCATCATCCATAGCTGTAAAAAAAAATAAAATAAAAATATTTATTCATAACTGTCAGAAAATTACAGAATTTAATCATCCATTACTACAGAAAAAACAAAAACAAAATGAAACTGAACTACATCAAAAGCCAAAAGCAAAGATTATAAACACCAAGTACACAAGTCTATCATGTACATCATATATATTAACAAAGTCCTTAGTTTTTCCCATTTTATCTGTAAAATCACACCAACCTTGGCAAAGTCTGGGTAATGTTTGACAGCTTCCTGTAGCAATGTATGGGCATTCTTGATTTCTCCGAGACACCACTCCAACTTTATAGACTTCATCATCACCTAGACATTGAGAGGTAATACTCAATCATTTGACCCTAACCATAAATAGAGAACCTTTTCAAAGAGTAAAAGGAAAATTTTATGTGTAGCAATACCCCACTCACCCTAGCAGTTGGGGCACTTGCTCTGGCTTTCTGTAGCAATCTTCTGGCTCTCTCAAACTCATTGTTCTCAGACTCCAGTTTAACGGCAGCTAACCAAATTTCTTCACTGTTGGGGTTGGCCTGGAAAGCCAAGGCCAGAATGCTCCTGGCTGCTGGTACATCTCCCTATTTAAAGAAAAATTCTATTTCTTATCACTCTATAAAAAGATTGCTTCTTGTTGTAAAACTAATCCTTTTAATGAAATTGTTTTGAAAATTCTGCATTAGTTTATTGATTTCAAAGCTCAGATATTAGCTAATGATGGGCTTAATAATACCTCTGTAAAAATACCCAGATTTTGAAGGAAACTGCCAATTACTGTGAAATCATTAATTTTTGTGAGGGTTAATTATAAATTCTCCTTGTTTTCGAGGTAGGGAGAGACCCATGAATTTATGACCACCACGAAATGTAAAATTTAATTTGTATGCATTCTACAAAACATTCTCCAACCACGAAATCAAATCCCCACAAACCAATATATTTTCCTCAAACCTCAAAAAATTTGACCCTATGAAAATGTGATTTAACAGTAAACACTTACAGCCAGCCACTTGGATTTTGCCCCCATTAACCACAGGACCTCGGCCTTGGGACAATGGGCCACAGCCCTTTGTAGGAGAGCCTCCAATGACTCCCTGTAATAAATCAGTCATTGATATACTATATAAATAATTTTACTTTATTATTAAACAGTGTACATTATGTACTTGTATACTACAATGCTGCAGTTACACATGTATCTATGAAGTGTTTGGAAGGAAAAAGCTGAGCTAACAACGTTTAAGTGGTAACATATGGTAAGTAATTAAAACAAACATAAAACAAATTCAGAAATCACTCTGTACCTTGTTCCATGGCTCTTCTCAAAATAAGCGGCCCTCAGCCAAATGCTCTTTTTACTTGGGTAAACAGACAAGGCATGGGCAAATATTGCCCTGGCACACTCATAAGCTTCATGGGCTGCGCACTTAAAAAATTATTTTGAATTAATTACATATCTCTACAAAACTGAAATACAATGTAAATGCAATTTTCATAAAGATAATTTTCCTAGACAGTGTACTTTCAACATAGTGCTGAACTGCAATAGTTAAATGTGCATGACTCTTGATTGAATGCTTTCAGAAAAAGAACATACAGATTCAGCATCTTCCATCCATGTGTGTTTCTTATCTTCATCTTCCACTCCAACTCCTATCACAGCCCGACTGTCAAATATTTAATATAGATAAAATCTTACATATGGATACAGAACAGGAAAAACTGAATTTGTTTAAATAGTGATGATTGTTTTTAATCGCGGATTTTTATATTACTTTGTGAAAAAATTGATATAACAGCATTCAAAAATTTAACAGCTCTACAAAATTTAACTGTAATTTGAAAATGATTAAATTTTTTTTTATTAATCCATGCACAGCAGAGCTCTCACTGGAGCGAAAATATTTTTCGCCACTTTTTGCGATGAAAGGAATCACATTTTTACATCTCGTCTCGACATGTGTACAGTGTTAAACACTCCACTAATAGCACTATTTCAATTTGTTTATATCACAGGCAGTGTTTTAAAATTGTAAAATTCAAAGTTGTATCCACTTACAAAACTGATATAGGAATTATTTCTACATTTATACAATTAATTTGATACTGATATTAGCCAACTCTTGACAGTAGATGTCCTCTTGTTCATAACTTTTTAGCCTGGGGAGGGGGGTTACAGACTTAGTAAAGATATATGACATTTTTTTTAAAAATGAAAAAAATAATATAATAGGCAAAATTTTTTTTCATATCAACAATTTATTGTGAAAACAAGTAATTAAAATCAGGTTTAAACTTGGCTTAATTTAACAACTTGGACACTGGGTGTATATGCATGTAAATTCATATAACTGAAAATAATTCAGCGTAATTGACAAAAGTATTGTTTTGTTTCCAAGCCAGTATCTCTTTCACTCTTTGTCAGTTTATGGTATAATGAACACACTATTTTGACTTTAATCAGGTAAAATTAGCAGCCATGCTCTGCAATTTTCGTCATGTTTTCCTACTTTCGGTTTTAAAAAAACAATCTATATAGATCCAGATTTTATTGATTAAAATCTTTTATTAACTAACTTCATCTCCCAAAAACGCTTCGTCTTTCCTTGTTTAATCCATCTTATATTATTTCAAGTAATTTTGTATCCCTTACTGCTCCAGACTAAAGTTACCTACTAAATCAGCTGTGTGCGTTCAAGCGAGACGTGATTTCCTACATGTACATTGCTTTGTTAGTTTCATGGAGTTTTCACACCCTGAATTCACACGTCTGCTTGCATTAAATAAACAAAGGGGCTAATATCTATACATTGAATAAACAAAGGAGATAGCCAGGAGTACAGACACTTTTGTATGGTATATCTTAAAAAAAAATAGTTCATTTTCGCCACTTTTGGAAAAAATTCGCAATTGGCGCAAATGGCGAATCACAGCTCGAGCCCTGATGCACAGAAACCTACATCTATGGACAAATTTTTATTGCAATTTTAATGGTCTAAAATCAGGTGGCTCTCATTTCTTGTCTTGGATATAAATATATACATGTACTAACATAATGGCCTGACATGTGTGAATGCTCCCTGCTTGTTCACAATCTTCAGCATCCTTTATCCACAAGTCTCTGTTGATTTCCACCATGTTTGCCCTTAGAGAGCTCAAGGCTGTTAGAAAATTAAACATGTACATCAATCAAAATAATTCTGATCTATACTCTCGCATTTTCGTATTATCTTCACTATATCATCATGTCAGTCTGAGAAAACTTTTAAACATGTAGAAGCCTTTCACATGCCCTCTTCAATGATAAAATTACCTGATGTTATGAACCTTTTTAAATAAGCTACATATACATGTGGAAAAACTTAACTTTTTGTTACAGTATTAAGCAAATTTTTTTGACAAACGTAATCAGTTATCTATTCCCCAATTCCCTCCCTTACCTCTGTCTATGATCCTCTCCACCATATGATTATTTCCATTAGCCTCCTCTAGTTTGGCAGCCGTGATCCAGATTTGTCTGTCTGTAGGGATGTTTTCTCTGGCCTTATTTAATACTTTTCTGGCATTCTCATAATTTTCCAGACGGGCTAAAGCCAACCAGAGCTATAAAACCAAGTAATTAAAAAAAAGTTTCTCGTGCATTTAATTTTGAAAATTTCTGAAAATGGAATGCATCCAAGTTTTGACGTTAGCTTGACATTCCAGCACAATAAAATACAAAATTTGTTGGATTGATTGATTATTTAGGACTTAATGCCAAGTCTGCAGAATTTCATCCATTTTTCAAAAATCAAGTACATATACAACTGCAAACCAATCATATAGTTACACCACATATACTCATTTCGTCATGCTCAAAACAAAACACAAATGTTATACAGAGCATGATTACCTCAACACTAGTGGGACAGCACTCAACAGCTCTACTCAGCATAATCCTAGCATCCTCTTCATTCTCCAATTCCACAGCCTGCTTCCACAGCCTTACAGAATTTGGAATCATCTCCAGAGCTAACATCAACAGTGAAAATCAAACCATGTAAACAACATACACTGCATAGGGGAAAAACACATTAAAGACATAACTGATGTTTGTTCAAATTAAAACACTTCTGACTAGGTGCTTAATAACCAAGTACAGACATGCCTGGTAAAAAATACTGTTTTCAGTACCTTTTCTGAAGACCCTCTTTTTGGCCTTTGTCTCGGTCTCGAGATCAGCAGCTTTGATCCACACCCTCACAGCTGTAGGGAGATGTCTAACAGCCTGGGCAATTACAGCCTTGGCCTGGTCCCCTGGCTGCAAGACAAAATAATTTTTCTAATTTTCCATTCATTAAGCACACTTTCAACAGAAGAAAACAACCCTCTGCTTTGGACCATACATAAATTTATGATTCCTTGTGTACAATTAATATTTTGTTCATATTTTACACCTGGAGCTCTTACCATCAGTCTTGCTGCCTCTAGCCACACATCCTCACTTTTAGGGCACTCCTCGCAACCTTTCATGATCAGGTTCCTGGCTATCTGCATCTTCCCAGTCACTTCCTCTAACCTGGCTGAGGCAATCCAGGCTGCAAAACATGGAAAATAAATAAACATGCTTACAAATCCACTACCAACTATAGACTTTCAAAGGTTATTTATTCTTTATTTTGTAAATAAACTTACACAAATTACTCCAAGATGTGCAGAAATTCATGTATTTAACCTCCTCAGTATGAGAACCAAAGTAAAACATAACCTACCTGGTGGATGTTTAGGGTTTGTCTCTCTGACTGACTTTAATAATAGCCTGGCTTTCTTTACATCACTACAATACATGAAACCATGTTAAAATTTCACAAATGTTCATGAAACACACCTTTCATACTTATTCTGGGAGAAGCTATTTCCCTTTTATTTATATCCCTTTTATTTTCCCTTTTAAAGTGTATTATTGTAAAACCAACTTTTATATGCATGAGAGAAAAATAAATCTGCAAGTTACTTGAGCCACAACTGAACAATTCATAAAGACTTCAAAAGGTTTATGAAACAGGACACCTCAATCACGAATATTATTTATTGTGGACTGACTTGCCACTGGCATATGGAATAGTTTACAGTATGTAAATGAAGTTTACAGTACGTAAATGAGGTTTAAAGTATGTAAATGAAGTCTCACTTGATGTCTCCCCCATGTGATGGCAACATGGACTGTAAATCTGTCAGGTAACCTTTTGGATCCACCACTGTCTGTCCACTGACAGAGTCGGACACCTTACAAAGAATTCATAATCAGTATTAACCAGAAGTCTCTGATGAGACTGTAGCTCTACTGGTCTGTTTGTATAACAAAAGAAAAGTAGCACTTGGATTTGAAACATTGCAACATGCAACAATAAATAGAATAATGTATCTTAATGTAGTCTACTTTTGTGACAAGTTATATTGAAATCAAATGAAAACTAGGAGTAGTAGCGTTTTGAAAGTATTTCACGGAAATTTCTATTTTTAGTACCGGTAACCATGACAACACCACTCACCCAAATAAAAAAAAACAGAAATACATATTATGTATCGTAGTGTATTCTAACTGTGTGCCAAATTAGATTGAAATCAGACCAAAATTGTAGGAGGAGTAAGATTTTAAAGGAATTTCACAGAAATTTCTATTTTAAGTAACCATGGCAACACCGTTCATCGAATTCAAAAACCAATGCAATAAATTATGTATCTTAGTATAGTCTTCTTGTATGCCTAATAATATTAGAAGCAGACTAAAACTGTAGCAGGAGTAGTGTTTTAAAGGAATTTCACAGAAATTTGTATTTTTAGTAACCATGGCAACACCATCCATCGAAATCAAAAACCGATGCACTAAATTATGTATCTTAGTGTAGTCTACTTGTGTGCCAAGTTACATTGAAATCGGACCAAAACTGTAGGAGGAGTAGCGTTTTAAAGGAATTTCACAGAAATTTCTATTTTTAGTAACCATGGCAACACCATCCATCGAAATCAAAAACCGATGCACCAAATTATGTATCTTAGTGTAGTCTACTTGTGTGCCAAGTTACATTGAAATCGGACCAAAACTGTAGGAGGAGTAGCGTTTTAAAGGAATTTCACAGAAATTTCTATTTTTAGTAACCATGGCAACACCATCCATCGAAATCAAAAACCGATGCACTAAATTATGTATCTTAGTGTAGTCTACTTGTGTGCCAAGTTACATTGAAATCGGACCAAAACTGTAGGAGGAGTAGCGTTTTAAAGGAATTTCACAGAAATTTCTATTTTTAGTAACCATGGCAACACCGTCCATTGAAATCAAAAACCGATGCACTAAATTATGTATCTTAGTGTAGTCTACTTGTGTGCCAAGTTATATTGAAATCGGACCAAAACTGTAGGAGGAGTAGCGTTTTAAAGGAATTTCACAGAAATTTCTATTTTTAGTAACCATGACAACACCGTCCATCGAAATCAAAAACCGATGCACGAAATTATGTATCTTAGTGTAGTCTACTTGTGTGCCAAGTTACATTGAAATCGGACCAAAACTGTAGGAGGAGTAGCGTTTTAAAGGAATTTCACAGAAATTTCTATTTTTAGTAACCATGGCAACACCATCCATCGAAATCAAAAACCGATGCACTAAATTATGTATCTTAGTGTAGTCTACTTGTGTGCCAAGTTATATTGAAATCGGACCAAAACTGTAGGAGGAGTAGCGTTTTAAAGGAATTTCACAGAAATTTCTATTTTTAGTAACCATGGCAACACCGTCCATCGAAATCAAAAACCGATGCACGAAATTATGTATCTTAGTGTAGTCTACTTGTGTGCCAAGTTATATTGAAATCGGACCAAAACTGTAGGAGGAGTAGCGTTTTAAAGGAATTTCACAGAAATTTCTATTTTTAGTAACCATGACAACACGGTCCATCGAAATCAAAAACCGATGCACTAAATTATGTATCTTAGTGTAGTCTACTTGTGTGCCAAGTTATATTGGAATCGGACCAAAACTGTAGGAGGAGTAGCGTTTTGAAAAATTGTTTACAGACAGACGGACAGACAGACAGACAGACAGACAGACAGACGGACGGACGACGGACACCTTACTATCGCATAAGCTCTTCTGGTCTCTGACCAGTAGAGCTAAAAATAAAAGAAAACTTAAAAACCCATAAAAAAGGAGAAAATACATCTCTTCATAGAAAATATGCCTGCATACAAAAAACATTTAACCATTACACAAAGTTAAGTTTACATGTAATTACATCATAACAGGTAAAAGATAGTACATTATGTACATGTATACATTTAAACATAATGCTATTAAACTACATACTACAGGAGTAGATATATGATCTAGGTAAAACATTTTATAAAGTGATAGCACCTGTGTGAGTTTGATATCCATCAATGTGTTTCTGGCTTGGCCAATTTTCTTCATATCAATATCACCACTTGGTGTGGAGGTACCCAAAGGAGTAATGGCCCCAAAGGGAGTATTCATTCCACTAAACTTCTGTAAAGTAAATATTACAAATTTCAGAATTTTAGAGTACTTTGATGATCATACATACCAACAGAGGCCCATGGGCCACATACAAAGCTCACTTAATTTATTCTAGCCCTGTAGTTCTTCAGAAGATTTTTAAAAAAAATTAAGTTTCCATGAAAATTTGTGACCCCATAGTATAGCCCCACCCTAACTCTAAGAGTCTCTGAATCCACACACCATGGTGATGCTTCAATATCAAATCAACATGACTAAATGGCCTTGAAGTTATTGAGAATTAAATTCTTTTTATGTATAAATGCATTATGTAAAATTTTGATCCTGATTTTAGCCAACTCTACCCAAGTTCATAATTCATAGGGGAAAAAATATCAACACATCTTGGGAATGTTTGCAAATTAATGGTTTCATTGTGTTTCTTTAGACTTAAAAAATGTAGTTCTATGCAAAACTTTGATCTCCTATTCTGTCCCATTCTACCCAAGGGGCCAATGAGTTGAACAATTTAGAATCTACACTACCTCAAGAAGCTCTAGAGTATGGAATAAGTTAAGAGACAAAAATACCATGCAGGTGATAGTAAAATATTATTAGACAAAAAGGGAAGTTAAGAATAATGAAAAAAGCTGAAATCTCATTTGTCATACAGCTTAGTTGTTACTTGGTCATTAATCAACCTTATTTTCTGTAGACAGTAAAACATTGAAATATGAAACAGACATGGCACACTCTGCAGTGTCTTTTATGTTATATTTTATGTTAAATTCACTAGGATGTCCAGTCAAAATAAAATAAGTTTCATCTTTTCTGGTCTATTGGCTCCTAAGAAGAAGATTTTGAAAGATTTTTCTTATATATATTTCATTGTAAAATTTCCACCCTCTATTGTGGCCCCATCTTCCCCCAGGGGTCTTGATTTGAATAATTTAAAATCTACACTTCCTCATAAAGCCAGCTGCCTCCACATAAGTTTAACCTTTTCTGGCCCAGTGACATGGTTCTTGACGAGAAGATTTTTAAAGATTTTCCTTTTCTATTTCAATGTAAAATTTTCTTCCCCTATTGAAGACCAATCTTACCCCATGGGGTAATGATTGAAAAATTTAGAATCTACACTACCTTCAGTAGCTTCCACATAAGTTTCGCATTTTCTGCCCCAGTGGTTCTTGAGAAGAAGATTGTTTTATGACCCCACCCTATATTTGCCTTTTATTGATTACCTCTCCTTGGAAGGGAGCTCATCCCTCCATTTGAACAAGTTAGAATTCCCTTGACCAAGGATGCTTTGTGCCAATCTTGGTTTAATTGGCCCAATGGTTCCTAGGAGAAGTCAGAATGTGAAATGTTTACAGACAGACAAACAGACAGCTAGACAGATAGATGCATGCCCGAAAACAGGTGATCAGAAAATCAGAAAACCTCATTTGAGCTTTCAGGTCAGGTGAGCTAATAATGCACAGCAAAAAAATTCTGTGATCTAAGTAGCTTGGATAGTGACTCTATATTAACTGACCTGGTCCCTGTCAGATATTGTGTTGGCAGTCCCTGTACTTGCTGCAGCTCTGGCTAGTACACTGTCTGGTACTGGGGTAAATCTTTACAAAAATGTATTCAAATACATGTATTTTAAAATTCTAGAGTTAAAATGTATATATACAGTCTTTTTTAATACAAATTCAATAATCAATACATTTCACTGCTGAAATGATGAGATTCCACTCTTAATACATGTATTTGAATCAATGCATTAAAGCCCTACTTTTCTGCTCGTGCATTTCTCTGTTTCTTGTTTCGGGCATCTCCAACTTCAGGTATGTTTAGCCATTCATCTTCACTGACAATGGCCAAGTCTCTCTAGGAAAATCAAAATGAATCTATACCCTATATTTATAACATTTCCATCATTTACATACTAATATTTAGTAACCTGAGGAAATGAGCATTTATTTAAATAATTCTTTCCTCATTCTTTAAGAATTCTTCACAGCACACCTCCCACTTCTTCAAAACAGTAGATTATGCCCTATTCTATTGGTCATACCTTAAGGTCTGAGAACTGCTGCTGAATTTTTGGTCTCTCTTGACGATATTTCTCTAGCTCTTCTTTCAGTTTTTGCTCCCTTCTTTCCCTGCGTTTGTCATCCATTCTCTTGTCAATTTCCTCATAGATAGCATCAGCCTCTTCATCATCTTTGTCATATGGATCTTTAGAACATAAACTTCCACCATAACCTGTGAACTGACATGACAGACCAAAAAGTAACATTATGCACATTACCTTGTTATTTGAGTTTATATTATCATCATGTTAAGTCGAATGTGCATGCATTTCCACTCTGATACCTACTTCATCATAGTTAGCATCGTTCAGATCTTCCTCTTCCTCGTCGTCATTCTTACTTTTCTTTGTGGGAGGTGCATGACGATCATCACTACAATAAAGATATTGACTGTCATTTGATTGTCATATCATAAGACTTATTCAAACTCCTTATTGTTCCTACTAAATTCCCATGTATCAAATTCTCAGTTTTAAACTGAAAAAAGTATAATTCCTTTCAGAGAAAGGACAAGAAGAGATTTTAAGTAAGGACAACTTTTCAAGTACTGTTTATGTACTTTTTCCATGGCCCGGGCCATATTACTGTGAGGTCATGATTTTCCTTCAATCTGCGGATAGATAATTATGCTGATTTCTTGGATTGTCATTGTACTTCTTCAATGTACTTTAAGTTCACAGAAAAATTTGTACATTGTGAATCACATGCAGAAAAAAGTACATTTACAGTAAAAAAAAAAAAAGCCAGAAAGGGAGATAAAAAAAATTGTTTAAGCTTCAGCTTGAATGATAAAATCAGAAATAGCGAATCTCCTATCTAGCAACAGGTATTTAAAATATTTTTTTTTGATTTTTGATTACTCACGAAATATCATCAATATCTCTGGCAGGACCAATATCAGATCTTGTTGTGAACCCAGTGGCACTGAAAGAGAAAGCAAAAATGACATTGACATTACTAAATCATTTAAGTTATAGAATTTAAATAGAATGACAAGTTTAATTATTAGAAGCACATTAAATGCTTTTTACTTGCAAATGTATATACTATGGTATGATAGTTATTGTTTATAGTGTCTAGCAGAGGAAATTCTAGAATCTCTAGAGTACCTGTTTTATTGGTACTGTAGTAAATATTCCAATTAAGAACTATTAGAATAGAAATATCAAATAATTGTTTTTATTTACCCTCTTCCTAGACCTGGGACATAACCAAGTGGAGCAGGGAGGCCAATAAACGTTTTCTTTTTAGCACTCACAAGTGACTGCACCGACATCTTTACGTTTTCTTGACTGGTATCTGAATCTGAGAATTCTATGAGGAACTAGTTTATTTTAGAACAAGCGTTCTTTATCCATATTAAGCTGTATAATTCGAAAAAAAATTCTCTTCATTGATTTATGACGAGAATTTTTCATATTTCTGTATCAAATTTGATGGTTTATTTCATGGGAATAGTATTTAGTTTATTATGGAATTAAAGTTGTAATATTAAGCGGTTGTCTGGAATACTTGAATGAACGAGTTAACCATAATAAACAAACCCAAACAAGATGGCGAATAACTTGTCGCTAGAGGGAAAACAACTTATAAATTTATTGTGGTATGTAAAGACAACATAAATTTCACGTGTCGGTTGTGGTTATTCTCTGTCAAATAGAAGCAAATGGATGGCTCCGACTTTATGATTTTTTAAAAAGAAAATACAACAATTTAAAAAAAAACACAGGTATTGCAGGGACCTATATACTAACGGGATAAGCAACTCCTTCAGCGCGGTATCGGGTGGTTACGTTCTGATTCCGTGTTCGACCCAAGTGGTTACGACCCAGGTGGGTTCGACCTACTCTAGATCTAATATATATCCCTACATGTTGATACCTGAGTACAGGGGTACACACTGTGCGGTAAACAAATGGATATTCGGTAGCTGTATATTGCATGGCTTCAGAAATGTACGTGTCAATAGGTCGTTGTTTCCTTATGTGTAGTCAACATGCAGTCAGATGGCTTCCTAACATTTTTTTTTCTACTATCGCGGAGCATGGATGTTATTAATTTGATTTAGTAATGAATTATATTTGAACAGTTTTCCATAAAAATTAATCAAATACTTCTTCAAATGTACCGTGGTCACATTTGCACTATCTAAACAATGTACGTTGCTCTAAATTAAATTACACACGATAATTAACACTATTTAAATGATTAAAATATACTTAGTTGATATAAAAAAAAAAAAGTAGATGAAAAAATAAAATGTAAAACTTTTGAAAGTGTTAACTAATTTCGTTCCGAAGCAAATAATTGTTAATTAAAAGCAAATAATTGTTAATTAATTGCTTTGGAACGAAACCACTCGGTTCGAACATGGATTCGTGTCAAAACCACGCGGGTCGAACAAGTAATCGGAACGTAACCACCCGCATTCCTTCAGCGCCATGTTTATTTACCCAAAACGGCACACACAACACTGTAAGTTTTTCAAACTACTTTTTTTCCCAGTAAAAAACTTGTTTTCTGATTAATGTAATCTGTTCTTTTTGTGTATCGGAATGGATATTTAATAAATCTTAAAGCACATATTATAAAATAATTTAGATATTAAGTAAACAACCACCAAAATCGGCGATTTCTCGGAAATACGGCCGATCGGGGGCACGCACTGATTTTTAAATAAACGTAATTACTTCTAAGACAAGGAGTAAAAACAGTGCTAATAACAAATCTTGAATAATTTTTTGTTAGATAAATTAACATTTTATTCTGAAATATTTTATAGCAAAAGAGATATATTTAATTAAAATTGACTTATGAAATCCCGCAACTTATGAGGTATCGCGAGACTTGCAAGAGTTGCCTATCCTGTTAGTATATAGGTCCCTGGGTATTGCGATTACTCTATTTGCTCAGGCATTGTTCATTGTGTTTGTTGTAAGAGTTCATTGCGCTGGTTATAGATATCATGTTACTGATAAAAATTGAGATACATGTACCAATGGTTAATATAAGATGGTAAAATCTCTGAACTAATAGATCATGTAGATATACCATTTTACTAGATAGAATGTTCTATCGTTAAAATGATATTGTCCTACGGACCCGGTTTAACGATAGAATTCGTTCCGTGTATTCGCAATGTAGCAAAATAAACACAGGCGATAACTCGAACTCTGTGCATTTTCTATGAAGAATCCAGAGAGTTCCGAATGTCAACATGGCGTTAAATTTGAAGTGAGGAAAAAACGTTGAGAAAATGAGTTGAATTTTCATATATATATATGTATTAATTTTTAGGTTAAAAGGCATATACAATCTCAAAAAGGTTTGTTATGATTAATTTGGTAGTTATTTTCAGTGCAACTCATTTTGTATTCTTCAGAATCATTTCGGAGTGGATCCACTCTGATTTGCTACATTGCAAGTATATGGGACGTATTCTAACTGTGGTGAGGGCCTGTCCCGAGACACAGTTAGAATATTCTAACTACCATTTTACTTGTACTTTGTCAAGGCAGTGTAAAGTACTTACAAATGGTATTAGGAAAGCAAACTGTACACAATATATCTTAAAAAATGCTAAAGATGTTTTGTGTATTTTTACATGAAGCATTTAAAACATGTAGACTAAACATGATAAATATAGTCCCAAATATCCAATGTTTTCAAAACTTTTTCTCAGTTTGGACATTCAACTTGTCAGGAAATAAAACAGTAAATTGTACGATAAAATATAAGGAACGACTTTACTTTACCGGTCCCCAGAAAAAACGTGCTAAAATACAGGGTCGCCATAGGCAACTTCAGTATACAGAAGATCGCGTGAGCGATCAAAAAAAAAAGTATGAGGTTTTTGGTCTTTTTGACCCCAAAATCGAATTCTACAGTTAAAAGTTTAGTTTAAAACTTCGTTTTTAAACGAAGTTTTAAACTGTGTTCTCTGAAAAAAATCAATGAATATTGTTTATTCATTGAAAAATCGACAAAAAAATAATTGTCAACAAAGCGCTTGCGGCGCATGCTTAGTGTCGTTTCTTTCGTACTTAACCATTTTTTCATGTAAACAAACCAGTGAAATGACGTTGAAGCTGAATTAAGATAGATCTAGAAAAAATACAGAAGCAACTGAATTTCTTCATTTATCTAAAAGAGCAAGTCACTAACCCTAATCTCTTGGATGGTATGCGAGGACTAACCCAAATATTCTGGGTAGATACTAGACTAACCCTAATCAGTCAAATAATGTGCAAGGACTAACCCTAATCTCTCGGATGGATGCGATACTAACCCTAATCAGTCAAATACTTGTGCAAGGACTAACCCTAATCTCTCAGGTGGGTGCAAAACTAACCCTAACCAGTCGAAAATGTGCAAGACTAACACTTATCAGTTGAGTGACGTAAATCATACATCATAGTGCAATGAGCGCGCGGATCTTGCAGATCTGGGGACCGGTAAAGTAAATTCTACCCAAATATAATCTCAAACTACTGTCTAAAGAACAAGGTTCACTTAGGGCCTTTTTTGGTCCTGTGAATTTCAGAAAAACTGAAACTGCTTGGTTTTAGCTGACAATGCATTAAACATCATTTAGACTTTTGGTGACTGCGTATCAATCGAAAATGACGTAATTTTCTGGCTAGTCAATGCATTATGACGTCATGAAATGCGTCATTTTCCTCATATCCCGAAAAATTCTATAAAAACAGCCAATTTTTAAAGCTATTTTTCGATATTTAATATAGAGCGCAACCTCTGATCTAAAATATGCAACTATTAAATGATAGAATTATCTCTGAGGATTACAAAACATGTTTTATTTTTTAGATCAGAGGGTGCGCTCATATTATTTCTCTTCTGTGAAAGTACTCAAATATACTTGTTTTCCTTAAAATTCAAGAACATTGCAATTCTATGAAGCTTGTTTTCCAAGACCTTGGTTTTAAGAAGAAAACTTTTAATAGGAAATGAAAGCACTAAGTCTCTACTTTATATTGATGTTTAAAATGGACCATAAAGTGTTAGTCAATAAATTGGTATATCTACAGGGCCATTTTATGCATAAAGTGAACCTAGCTCTTTACATGTTCTTAGATCGATTACATACATTTCTATCTAATTTGTTCTATACTGTAAGTCTGTTACATATCTACATGTATTTTTAGATACCCATGTACAAGGCCATCACCATGTCCAGGCAATATACACAAGATGTCTTGTGCTGGCAACACTGTGACAAACTCACTAACATCCTGTGTTTCTCAGTCCCATCTGTTTGTCCTCTTTGTCACCAGAACACTGCCCACTCCCCCAGTCGCATACCCCCTTACAAGCTCCCCTCCCCCTTCAACAGAGCAGGGGACTTCCCAGTGGCATTGGTTGTTAAACCAACATTAGGCACTTTTATCAGGTATTTGATTGAAAATTATGAAATTTATACCAGTTTGATTTTCATTGATACGAGTATTAGATCAGTAGAAAGTATTCACTGCAAACAATTCATCACTAATTCGATCTCCTTCAGTACATGTTACATTTATTATCTTAATGTTTTGTATTTATATCATTAATATTTATAGGGATTATGACAATTCTGTCAATCTTCATATAGGAATAACAGATACAAATGGTAAGAAGACAATATTTGAGTAAATAAATGGTAAGAAGACAATATTTGATTGAATAAAATATACTTTAATAAACATGATATTTTAAATGCACAAAATTATTTGAAAGTTTGATATGTTATGTGACAATATTGTATATTGATTAGTTTATGATTTTTTTAGGAACCGTGTATGATTATGATGAGGATGGTGTACATGTGGGGGTGTCTGGTTGGGAGGAGTGTCTGGTAATCCCCCTGTCTAACCGAGGCCTAATGCCACACATCTATCAAGTGTGGGATGCCACACTCAATCATCAAGCCCAGTCTAACATATGGACAAAATCCAAGTAAGAGAAAAAGATTGGCAAAATTCTGTGTTTACAACAGATCATCTTTCCATTTCATTCCCTCCTTTAATTTTCTATTCTAACCAAGTCTGTATTTGCTGCAGTGATAAAATTATAAGGTAGCATTTATTTCCTTGTCAAATCCATTGTGGATTTTAAAAAGATTTAATAAAGAAAATGATTACATTCATTTTCTGAGGGAAACTTGCTCAGAGTTTGTCTCAAGTGGTCAATTTCTTTATTAGAATGGATAGCATTAAATACCAGTACTTTATTTGACTTTATTCTTACAGGTACATTGAGGACAGTCACAACTGCTTTGACTTTGTTATTAACTTTTTGAAACAAGTAGGGTTCAGCAGAGAGAATCTGTCTGCTGAGAGCAGAAGTTCATTGACCCGTGACATTATACTTCCTCAGATGTCAAAGGTCACACAATACATTACATTGTACAGGAATGTGGAGAGGAATTCATTTGTGTGTCAAGATGTCCAGACTTAACATCTCACCAAATAGGATGTACATATGTAAATATGTATATCTCATTTTATTGTATAGCTACATGTATTATGGTACAAAAGATATGATATTTTGGTTGTGGATACGTGTACAGTACAAATCTTAATGATCACTCAGTATTAACAAGATTGTATTGAATGTGATGGATTATGGCCACATATCTTTCATGCATTATATATATGTAGAATAAACAGGATTTTGCGTTAGAGGGGGCGCTATTAGATGACAAGGCCTTCAGGAGCAAAGGACAATTTCCTAGGGGGATGAAGCCTCCCCATAAGCTCATGAGAATCAGCAATTAGAGAACCTTTTTTAAACACATAAATGACTAAAATTTTACCTTTATTTCATTGATGTATATTGGTGAAAACTACTAACATTGAATTTTTTCTGGATTATAGCTGTTATATTTCTTAATTATGAATGCTGTAAAAATCAAAATGAAGCCTCTCTCAAAAATTGACAAAACTGGTATATTGCCAGAACAGGTAAAAAATGGTTACTCTGTTCAGTGAAATTTTTGCCCCCTTTGCCGTTGTCACAAGTAGGCAGATTCAAAGTAAACAGCATTATCTCTTGAATGCAACAGTGTCTTGGTGAATTTAAAATGGGACAAAATTGTTTGCATGTGTGAAGGGCGAAAATAACATGGGGTGAAAATAACTCTATACAGCATTTTGTACATTAGGAAATATTGTATTGGTAATAGGACTTAAATTGTAAAATAAGAGGAAGATTCTGATACATGTATTTGTGTTCTTATGGACTGAGGTGCTGGCATCTCTGTTTTTTTTTCTTTTTTGATATTAATCCACATTATCTCTCGGTTAAAACAAGTCACCTCCTTTCTGAAGAGGAGGAAAAGCAAATGAATGTTTTTTTTATTTTATATCTATTATGTTTTTATTTCTGTGATAAAATAATTTACTACATGTAGTTCTTGAAAATAATAAAAAATGTAAAATTAGTGCAAACACTACTTGGAACTTGTGGTTATATTATTGGATGTCTTGGAAATAGTGATTTTTTATATGAATGTGCATGAACATCACTTTACAAGGAAGATTAACTCTTGAAACTATGGCTTTAAGTGTATGTGAAAAGTATCTTTAGTAATTGATGCTTCTTTTTATGATAAGTAATATTGTTCAACCATTTGAAAGAAAATGCTGAAATTAATATATTTACTTCTGTTTTGAAAGAAATCAGATCTTCTTCAAGCATGTTACATGTATATACACTGTATAAATATTTGAATAAAATTGATCTATTTTAGCTTTTTTTATTTAGCAAGTTAATATACAAACAGACCAAAGTAGAAAAGAGGTAGTTTGCCTAAATTTGTTACTCCGAAGACCAGGGTTGGACCGAAGTGGATATATTGTACAAAATTCTGACTGAAAAAATAATTAGTCCTGTGTTCCCAACCAACGAACTTAAAAAAGTTTAAACTCATTGGCTTAATTGATACATATATGTACAAATCGCAGAAAAGATCTTTAATTATTGGAACTCTTGAATTATACAGTGAATAATAAGGTAAAGTTCAAAACTACGTTGCGTTTGTCCTTAACACTTGGGACAATACAAGCTTATTCAATGATGTTTGAACAATATATTGGGCCAAATTTCACTTCAGAAAAATTATACGATCAATAAAAAAGTAATATAATATAAAAGCATAGATATTGGAAAAGCTATTGAGGACTTTAATAGGAAGGCTTACCAAGGTAATACAGAATATATGGCAGGGAGCTTAATGTAAACTTTTTAAGACTGCATTATGTTTGCATTGATGCAAATAATCCCAATCCTTCTGGAAGAGGTGGTGGCGGATGCGATGTTTTTACTGAAAATAGGAAATTTGATGACAATCCGACTTGAAGGCATTGATCAATCTCAGTGAACTGCAAAGGAATGACACTCAAGAAGTTTTAACGTTGACAGCTGAAAAAGGCGATTTCCAAGAAAAAAATACATAGACAAGGAAGTCAGTCTTTGTAAGCGCTATGCACGATAACCCTTTTTAAACAAAGTTGACAGCAAGTAAAACAAGAGGCCCATGGGTCACAACGCTCATCAGAGTACATGTAACTATGGCCTTGCTCTTCATCATCAGTTTTTAAAATACATATATCCCCTACTACCCAAACTCCGTCACCATAAGCGGAAAACACGCTCATGTTAGTCTCTGAATTATTTTTTGATTAGTTTCTTGTTTGCTACACTTAATAGTGAACTTAAACATTATTTTCAGAACGATTTAAAAAAAATTAGTCACTGGGCTTATATAAAACTACAATAAATAGAACGCGTATCACATCGTCCTCAGCCAAGGATGCTTTGTAACAATTTTGGTTTGAACTGGCCCAGTAATTCTTGAGAAGAAGATGAAATAATTGAGTGAGAAGTTTACGACGACAACAACTACAACGATGGAAAACTAAACAGAAACTGTTAGGAATCTCATAAACAGCAATGAGGAAGAACAAGACAGTTGAATTGTGAAGATAACGAACCAAAATCAAGCTTAAAAGTCCATTGAAACAACGCAGTTTGTAAGCAGAGCAAACACGGACCTCTAAAACATCAGAGGTGGTATCAGATTCCATGATGGAGTAAGCATCCCCTGTCGACCCTTTTTACCCACTGTGTGCTCTTTGTCATGAACAGGTAAACGGAGAAATCAGTAAGTTCAGTATGAAAATAGTGTCCTAACAATTTGTATGAAAGGTGTTAGTCACCATTCGACCTAACGACTGATAATATTTGCAAATAAGGTCCTTGTATCGACCATATAATTTGCGAAATGTTGACTAGCTTCAAACGAGATTGTAGATACCCTTGTATCATCAACTTTGTCAGTAATCTGTCTAATTTTTGAAATTGTTCGTTCGAAGAACATACTATTGCGTATCGAGTCAACTGTGAGACATAAACCCCATATGCAGGTGATCACAGTATATTTCCATTTCGATTTGTTTTCTCTGTGATAACTCTTTGAAAGTTAGGAGAGTTGATTTCTTGATCATTCCACTCGAATGCAAATTTCGCCAAGCGAAAGGTCAGGAGCTAATGAGGCCTAATATGCATGTAAATTTCGTGCGGCTGTCTTTGTGTTTGACGTCAGTGGGCGGGGACTATTGAAATTGACACGTGAGGCCTCATGTAATTTAAATCTATTAATCTACATTTTTAAAATCTAAATTTACAATTTTATTGCAGCCCGGAGGACCGGGCTGCTCTATACATATAAGTTTAAGTGTTGGTATATGGGGATTGAGGTGGGAGAAGTTATTCAGAATTAAAGGTTTTCTAAACATTAAAAAGATTGTTAATCAGAATGTTCTTTCCCTTTATAAATTACGAGATACATAATATATTTACTTCCATAAAGTGAATCTGTAAAAATATATATGTTTTTCATATTTAATATATAAAGTTGCTTATCATTTACTATCGAAAAAACGACAGGTCCCTTTTTTTAGAACATCGAATTTCACTTATCGCATAAAAACGTAAAAACGTACTTTACACAGCTCGTGTTTTATATTCTTAAGGTGAAAAACATTTTTGAAAATAGGTGATGCATGTGTCTGGTTTCAAATTATATTTTATGCAGCCAAAATTTACTTGAGGAATTGATAAAGTTTAAAAGGGTATCGTTTTTGTTCGATTTTCATCCGACTATAAGTTTTCAAAATATTCTCGACTATCGTCTCCATCATTTAGACGCATGCCTTTTTCACACATATCGAAGCGGTTTGATGATCAAGACTCATTTCCATTGTTTACTTTATTTATTTCCCGGGCGACAATTGATGGTTACATCGATCAATGTTTTCTTGTTTCATAATGAAATGGAAATATAAGGAATCACTGTCTAGTTAATAGAGTATGCCAGGGACATCAACGATAGTTGGAAACGTGGGATAATTTATGCATAACGGGCTTCGCCCGTTATGCAAATTATCCCACGTTTCCAACTATCGTTGATGCCCTGGCATACTCTACTAACTAGACAGTGATTCCTTAAATATTGCTTCATAAATAAGAGAAAATAGAGAAGGTGAAGTCACCACATTTAACATAAAGTTAAGATGTTAGTTTGCCATCAATGTTTTTCTCTAGTGAAATATCCAGATATGAAGCAGATGTGTCAGACTCCGTGGTGTCTTTTATTTCTAGTTCAGTGGGATATGTCAACGTATGAATGAAAATGAGTATTGTTAAATGATAAAATCTCATCAATAAATCTAAATGACGAATCGAAGGCCACAGCAAGCAATTTACTTTTTTCATGCAGAGGATTTCTGAATAAATTCTGCTTGATAGGAATGCAAAAAGAGATTTAAAGATTTAAGCTTGAAAACTGCCCATCTATGATCTTTTAAACAGTAATGAAGAGAAGAACTAGAGACAGCAACTTGGAAATTTGTCCGTTTATGACCCGATAACTAGAAATAAGCTGAGGACTGTCCATCTATGTCACCATATGTAATAATGAAGAAAAACTAGATTGAAACTATTAGGACTGCCCATCTATGACCCCATAAACAACAATTAAGAACTATACAAAAACTGTGAGGACTGTCCATCTCTGATCCCATAAGCAGCAATGAGGGAACTAGAAAGGAGCTATGAGGATTGTTTGTCTATGAAACCATAAGCAAAAATGAGGAAGAATTAGATAAAAAGCTATGAGAACCACCCATCCATGACACCATAAGCAATAATGGGGAAGAACTAAACAGGACCTGTGAGGAATGGCTCCAATATATTTTTAAATAAGAATGATATGGATTTAGCCCGTTCACCGATAGTGAGCGTTGAAGTACTGAACGATATGGAATAGGAATGTCAGCGAATAGTCGAATATTCATTCGATGAGTTGTTATTCGAATATGAGTTTAGGATTCGAAAATTAGTTTTTTTTTCAGATTTCACAAGAAGATATAACTATGATGAATGTGCTGGAATTATCCATGTTTTACTTACTAAATTAATTTCTTTCACCGCTTTTTGACTGTGTAGATCTACTGAATTATTTATTTTTGAGTTAGTTGTTTCATTAGAATAATTCCGTCTCCCGAAATCAAATCTTTGGAGATACTTTAAGAAGGGAAGTACTATACATGTATATCTCTTCTTGGGCAAACATGTGCTTAAATCTGGAGAGTATGTACGACAGCCTTTCCCTTCAGTAAGACGATCAATTCATTATTTGGAGGTTGAAGATATCATATTTTGATATTATATTTTTGCAGTATACAATTAAACCAACTTGTTAATTTCAAACATTGACAAATCTCAAAAGTATAATTTCTTACCGTATTCCTAAAAAATATACACAAAATTTTACTTCCAAATACCGACGCTAAACCTGTCATGAGAGTAGGATGATGCATAAAATAAACCGGATTATATATTTATTCATTGAATATTCGAAAATAATCAAATACTTTTATTGCAACTCTTCATGACAAAATAGTGCTGAAAATGACAGTGTTAGCGACGTGAGGCCGCATGTTTAACTCTTCTACTATGACAAGAACCACAACGGTAAAGAAGACAAAATTTACAAACAATAATGAGGAAGAGCCAGATATACATGTATAGATATACAGCCCATCGATGACACCATGAAAAAGGAGTAGAAACTAGACAGACGTTAGGACTGTTTGTCTGTAGATCCATAAGCAAAATTGAGGACGTAAAATAGAAGCTGTGAGGATTGCACGTACATAAATCCATGAGAAGTAATGAGAAAGAAACATATAAAAGAAGTTTCTATCTATGAACCCATTATCAGTAATGAGTAGTAACTAGATAAAGCTTTGAAGACTATATCTTCAGGCAGTAATGAGGAAGAAGTAGAAAAAAATCCTGTGAGGACTGCCCGTCTATGACTCCAAAAGCAGCAATAAGGTAGGGCTAGAGAAAAGCTTCGAGAACTGCCTGTCAATGAATTGAAATATTGAGATCGAGGAACTAGACGAAAGCTGCTAGGACTACCCGTCTATGAATCCATTAGCAGTAATGCTGAAGAGCTAGACGAAAGCTACATGAAAAATCCGTCTATGAATTAATTCATAAGCAGTAGTGAAGAGGACTTGGAAAGAAGCCAGAAGGACTCCCCAACTATGAAATCAGAATATAGAGTCCATTCAACTGCAGGAGCTTAATATACTTTTTATTAATAATGATCTGAATTTAACCCGTTCGCCGAGAG